CACACACACACACACACACACACACACACACACACACACACACACACACACACACACACCTTGGTTTGTTTGCAGCAGACGGTTTGGCTGGATAATCTTTGAAGCTTTGGCTGATTTAATTTTTTTCTTCGGCTGTTTGTCTTGTTTCAGCTGCATGTTTCAGCATGGCATGATGTTTCTGTGCACAACCTGAAAACTTCAGCTGTCATGATTCAGCAGAAATATATAAAAAAAACAAGTCATTAAATCTGTGAAAAACCCAGAAAATCTCAGAGAAACAGTTTGAAAACATTTATTTGTTTATTTATTTATTTATTTATTTGTTCATTCATTCGGTCCATTTTCTGAAATTACTTCAGATAAAATTTAAAAAATAAGAGTGTCAGTCTGATTTACTGTGTTCAAACAGCGATTTGTAAAAAACTGCAGGAAAAGTAAAGTATAGTGTGGCACCCAGGAATATTTAACTATGTAGTCACCCCCCTCAACATTTGTTTTTAACTTCTATGACTTGTGTTTTGATTGTTAATTTTGTATGGCACTGACTCACACTCAAATAAATTCAGGTGCARTACCTCTTTKTGCCAGTAGATGGCAGGAGTGGCACATGAGAGCGACAGTAGAGGAAGCTGAAGGGTTGTCAGTTGAAATTCCCTCAGCTGTGGTCAGTATCACAGCACAGCAAAGCCACTACTAAGAAAGCCTGATTTGTGTTTTCACAGAATAAAAAACACTGTTACACTCAGTTAGTGTGTCTGCTGTCACGTGTGTAACATTAGTTTTTATTAAACAAATAAAAACGAACAAACAAAACTTTAAATGTTCAGATGTTGGAGGATTAAAACAAACTGTTCTGTTATTTTATTTTATATTCTGGGTTTTTCAAAGAAACTTTTCTGTTTTTCTCAGACAAAATGTAGTGAAAACATTTTAATAAAACAAAAATGGGATTAAATTTTTTTAAAACACTTTGAATTTCAACTAAATTACTTAATGAGATAAAAATATAAAAATAATGAAGAAAATTTGATTTTAAAACAGGTTTGTTTTAATAAGTTTAACTACATTTTGTCAGTTTTATTAGTTTTAATCAACTGGAGACTTCAGCTGATTTTTACTACAAATATTTTTATATTACGGCCCTGTGTACACTACTCTGGAAATATTTATATACTCTTCTTTCTAACAGAACTGCTGTAGTACTCAGCCTGTACTACTCAGGTTGTAGTACTCAGGTTGTAGTACTCAGGTTGTAGTACTCAGGCTGCAGTACTCAGGCTGTACTACTCGGGTTGTAGTACGCAGGCTGTAGGTTGTAGTACGCAGGCTGTAGTACTCAGGTTGTGGTACTCAGGCTGCAGTACTCAGGCTGTACTACTCAGGTTGTAGTACGCAGGCTGTAGGTTGTAGTACGCAGGCTGTAGTACTCAGGTTGTGGTACTCAGGTTGTAGTACTCAGGTTGTAGTACTCAGGTTGTAGTACTCAGGCTGTAGGTTGTAGTACTCAGGTTGTAGTACTCAGTTTGTAGTACCCAGGCTGTAGGTTGTAGTACTCAGGTTGTAGTACTCAGGTTGTAGTACTCAGGCTGTAGGTTGTAGTACTCAGGTTGTAGTACTCAGGTTGTAGGTTGTAGTACTCAGGCTGTAGTACTCAGGCTGTAGGTTGTAGTACTCAGGTTGTAGTACTCAGGTTGTAGGTTGTAGTACTCAGGCTGTAGTACTCAGGCTGTAGGTTGTAGTACTCAGGCTGTAGGTTGTAGTACTCAGGTTGTAGTACTCAGGTTGTAGTACTCAGGTTGTAGTACTCAGGTTGTAGGTTGTAGTACTCAGGCTGTAGTACTCAGGCTGTAGGTTGTAGTACTCAGGTTGTA